GCGGGCGTCTCGCCTTGTTTGGAACGACGGTGATTGAAACAACCTTTAAAAAGGCCACCGGCTCATTCGTGTGGAGTGTGTGTGACGGAGCCACTGTCAGGTCATCCGAGCTGACAGATTGGCTAAAAAACACTTTCATCATAAAATGATGTTATTTCCCACATTTGTGTCATCTTCACACACATCCAGCAAACCGTCATTCAGTCATCTCACTCTGAGCTCTGCGTTTTGTTGTCCTAGGGCGCCACCTGCTGGCGATCTCCCGGAAAAGCTGACTTCCGGGTGCCGGGGATGTCTGACGGGCGGGGCTGGCATAGCAGAGTGGGGAAACGTTGTGCAACCGTGGAACATCTTGAAAATGATCCCTAGTTGATTTTGGCCCTCCAACGGAAAGCTTTCTGCAGCTCCTCCGAGAGGGAGGTGGAGTGACGGGCCAGAAGAACCTCTGGGAAACCTCGTCCTCCGGCTGCGATGCGAGACCGGTGGACAACAAAGAGGCGCACCGATTGAGGATGACGTCAGCTGCCTTGCAGATGGGCATACGTCTCCTCCCGCCTCATGGACGTTGTACGCCAACAGCGTAACGTGAGCTCGGTTGGAGAACGACGTCACCATCTGGTTATGCTTATCCGGAGGCGTGGGACGCTGGTCCAACCTGGACATCTTGCTCCGAAAAAAGCCTCCGTCAAGGCTCGGCTCTTGGGGGCACTGAGGGAATTTCCGCTCGGTGAAACACCTCCACTCTGGTGATGGGCGCGGATGTGGGAACCGGCGCCCTATTCTACCAGGACCGGCTGCAGCCTTGTCCCAGTAGGACTTCACCGCTGGGAAAATGAGGCCAGATGGGATCTAGGACGGCGAGCCGGAGTGGAACCCAGAAACCTTCCCGCTGGAACATCCGAACTGGCGGGGGAGGCGAGGGATGGAAAAAAGTCCCTTAATGTCAGCCACCTCCTGGATTAAGCTGGGCAAACTCCAGAGGGCGCCGGCGGCTGGGAGCGGTGTGGTCGCCGATACAAAACAAGGTGGGGGGGGGGGGGGGGGGGGAAGTGTTGCACCCCCCCCCTCAGCGCGCGGGGGGGGGAGCATTTGCTCAGCTCCCCTCTACCGACACTATGCTCTCCAGGAGGGAATGAGCAGCGGGGGGCTGCTGCTGACATCGCCTGTCCCGGAGGAACCATCCGATTCGCTCCGAGGGTCTGTGATAAGAGGAAAATTACAAGATGGCGTCGTCCAGCGTGTAGCAACCTGCCACTGAGAAATACTCCTCGGCGCTTACCTTGAAACAAGACTGCTCGTCTGTTTCTCCTCGGGGAGGAGAACTCACCGGGACGACAGTGGAGATCACAGGCAGTCTTAACAAAGGTTGGTCAGCTAGACAACTTTCCTTCTTTGTTCTTCTGACAGTGCTATTAGCTCGCTGAAGAAAAATGGGAGACGATTACCTGCTCTTAACGTCATTTATACGGACCGGGTGGGGCCCACACAGCTGGTGGGCATGGACTATATTTTTCAGTGTAATGCTTCACATGACGGGATAAACCCACTAAGCGACAGCCTTAAAGGGCAAAGCCTATATGAAATAGAACTAATGGATGTGAAGGATCAGCCAGTGGGCGTGAAGGTCCAACCCACTGACATTGACTGATGGGTAAAGTCATTCTGCTGAAAAGAGGCATTATGAAATAAATAAGCTGTTATGAAAAATGCCATTAGGAAATAAATAAGCCATCATGAAAAACACAATTATGAAATAAAATAATAAAAATGTAAATTTTTCATAAGCTAAGCATGAGCTTAGATACTTATCTCAGAATGCTTTATTTATTTATTTTTGAGCATTTTGGTGTTCCATAAATAATAATAATAATAAATATTAAATCATAAGGTTTTGCTCTGTTAATAAAACAAGTTTTCTGATCTTCAGTATGCGAGTTTACTCTGGAAATGCTGTAATAACAATGTTTCTTTCAGTTTCCAACAACTTCCAGAACTTATCATTCTAAGTTCAACACAAGAGTAACGTTCATTTGTCCTCCAAAGTCTTCTAGTTATACTATTTGTATTTTTCGTATTCAACCTTTATTTATACAGGTTAGTCTCAATGAGTCTCTTATGACTAAAAGTTGTTTCTTGCTTCATTATTCCTTTTTATGTTAAAGCTATATTTTCTTTTTTTTTGTTCCAATAGTATGAATTTAGATTACTTTAAATATGATAATAAAGAATTAGAAATGTTGTATTAAAAAATAGGTGTTAAGCATGCAACGTGAATTTCTAAAGTAACCATTGACAGCTTGCTTGTTTGTTTGCGTTTGGTTAAGTATGATTAAATTCACTGTTAAAGTTAAACTAATCATAGTGTCTGTCTTGGTTTCTGATTAGTTTAACCATTGAGGCAAAAAGAAGGTCTGAAGTAGAGTTGCATTCAGCCCTAAAGAATCTGACCTGACCCGGCCCAGCCTGTAGCTAAGACTTTTTTTTTTTTAACCTCTTTTGACCGGACAGTCAGTAGATGCACACAGCCAGTGATCAGGTGATACATCTGAGCTTAACAGGACTTTTTTTTTTTTACCTCTTTCATTCGGCCGGTTGAACCTGCCTCCTCCTCAACAAGTAGATTAACATAATTTTATATTGCACATGCTTATTTAGTTTTCTTTGTGCTGTATGATTTGTAAAATCGTATTAAAAGCCCGAGACTGACCCAGCCCGCCCATCAAGCACATTATTTTGGCTTGACCCAGCCTGAATTTTGGGTCGGGCCATGTTAGGAATTGCAGCTCTAGTCTGAAGTATGGGAGACTGTGACAAAGTGAAGATTCAACGTGTCTGTGGCTTCCTTCCTTAGATAGAAAACTCTTACTAAATGGCTTTTGTATGTATGTGAATGTTTGTGTACAGTGCCCTGAGACGACTTCTGTTGTCATTTGGTGCTATATAAATAAACTGAATTGCATTGAATTCAAGTAGAATCCAGACAATATTTGTTTGAATTGTGTAACCTGAGACTCATAAAGGCTCATTGGTTGACCAGCACTAAAATTCCTACCTTTATTTAAATACAGTCAGGAAATAAGTCCATGACTCAGAGCGATCCACTCCTACTAATGTCCCCTTTTAATTTTTTTATTTGTGTTTGATAAGTTTCCAAATTTTGAATTTCTATCTCCTTTAATTTTATTTGTTTGATTTCAGTTAAACCTGCCCCTTAACTTCTAACAGGACAAACTTCAAATTTTGTCTTGGAGCCACGTCTTTTCTATTCATAAGATAAGTATATCTAGAGTATAAGTATCTCTCTACATATCTTCTGAACCGTCATTTTGTAATTTTCTGGATCTGGTCAGTTGGTCTCTTAACGCAATGGATAACACTTTTGAGACAAGTTTCAGACGAGATGAACTGCCCAGACGACACGTATGCAGCTGGATATGTCTCTGGAGGAAGTGAAATGTGATGTGTCTATCTCTGCTGTCGATCAAGGATGCCGAAATTGCATTTAATTGGATTTATGATAACAGGTTTCGTGTTTTTGGAAATGACTGGCTCCTGGTTTATCAATATACAAAGAAGACGGCCGCAGCTAATCTGGCCTGGTCAGGCTGCCACCTATGTGAAGGTTTGCTCCATGTCTTGAGCACCCAGACTCTATTGCTTAGCGGACTGGAACGCAAATTGGATGTGATTTGTGAGAATCACAGGCCATATGTGGCCCCTAGGACTCGCTGGCAAGATGGATCAAATCTCTGGGAATATTCTCAGGCACAGATCAGTGGTGTGTCCACTTAATTTGGACCTTTCAGAATCTACATGAGACCAGCAAAGACTCAAGGTAGATAAAACTCGGTAAAGTTCTACCTGCCCTCAAAACAAATGTTGTTTATCTGAATTTGGCTCCCTCGGCTGGCCTGTAGGCCACCTTATCTCAATTCGCCTGGAAGCTCTGTAATCTGACACTCTGCCCCCCTCCCTCCCATTGAGGAAGTCCATTGATCAACCAGAGGGAACCAGCTGAATAAAAATTGTGTCATCATTTCAGGACTCTTGGATTCTCATTGGCGTTGTCCTTGGTCATTCCCCGACACCCCTCGAGAATTTTTACGGATCTCACCAGAGGGAACTTCTGATTATTCCATCCTTATCAGAACTCCTTCAGTGCCTCCGGGAGTGTCCTTGGACACTCTCACCACCCTTGTCGTCTCGCCCCCCACCCCCACCCCTTCTGCGGAAAGTCTACGTCACCATGTGCTTCTTTGTGCAGGGTGTTTTTTTCATTATCAGGGTGTTTCTTCTCAACCAAGAAAAAAAAAGAGTTTGATAGGATTTTTTTTTGCCTCCAAATTCTACGTGTTCACTTTCACTAGGGCGGCTATGGCTGAGTGGTTAGAGCAGTCGTCCTCCAATGCAAGAGTTGGGGGTTCAAATCCACCAGCAGTCACATGCCGAAGTGTCCCTGGGCAAGACACTGAATCCCTCATAGCCTCCGATGTGTGTCCCATCGGTGTATGAATGTGATAAAGCTCTGATTAGTCTCTTTAGAATGATTTGTTCAATTAGCTTTGTAGAGATCTAGTAGAGTGCTGTATGAATGGGTAAATGAGGACACAGATTGTAGTGTAAAGCGCTTTCAGTATCTTGATCAGATAGAAAGGTGCTATATAAGTACAGACCATTTACCATTTACTTTTTGTCTGTCTAAACAGGTATCACTTGTAAATGAGTCTTCAAGGCTCCGTGTGATATATCTGTTTCAATAAAGGTTGAATGAAAACATATTATGCTTTGTTTACTTCAAGTTTACTGGTACACATTTCACCATACATATTTGCCATAAGCTTTTTCGTCTTGTACATTATGTTGTATAGGATAGAATGAAATAAATTGATTCTGTGAACAAATGGTCTTTACACATAAACTGAAATCAGATGTGTCTGAAATTAAACTTACAAAATCACAAGGCGATCAAATAACTATTTCCCCTACTGTACAGTACAAACCATAAATATGGAGTCCATTTCTGTTTGAGGCTGCTTTGCAGACTGACCACTGGGAACCTCCAAACCATGCTGGTTAATTCTGTAAAGAAATTGTGAATAATGAGCTCACATTTTTCTGTTCACACAAAGACAAATGCAAGGTGAAGGTTTGTGTTGTGTCACACTCCCAAAACTATCTTTTTCTTTCAGCAACACCTATTAACCCAGTGGAAGTTTTACTTTGTGTTAAGGAAAGTAATGGGCAGATTAAGTTTTTTGCTGAAGCTTTCCCCAAGATTGTGCTGAAAGATTGCTTATTTCTAGACCAAATGGTCAGTAGTGTGGGGATTCTGGCATTTTCCACCTAACCTCCAGTTCTTTCAACTTCCTGAGTGGCAAGACAGCTCCTAATCAGCAGTGGGTGTTTTCCATCCTGCTAATGAAGACCTTGATATTTAAGGCTGGTCTAATTATCTTCTCACTACTAGAACATTAGCCTCTATCGTCCTGGTCCCTGTTGTACCTCCTTGGATGTCCTAGTTCTTCTTACCACTCCAAGGAAACCTCTGAAGCCAGGATCTCATCTCACTCCTTGTGTCTCCTTGTAGAACTCCTGTGACAACAAATACCAGCCTTGAGTCTGTCTTGCCATTCTCACTTACCTACCGGTACTACTCACCTACTCCACTGATAACCTGGTCCTGGAATCCCCCCACCCCCCTCTCTGTGTCTGCAACACACCAAGAGACAGTAAGACAAATTACTTTGAAACTCAATGACTATATTACTCTAAGGATAATAATCACCAGTCTTGAACTTCCATGGATCCTTCCAGCACCCCTGTCCCCTGTAAATAAAACACTTACCTTTTCATATTTGACTCCAGATTATCTTGTTCCCAGTGCTACTGTATACTCTGGGTGTGATATCTACTGAAAATATGATATAATATTACAACCTAGGTATTAGTTCCCTCTTCAGGGGTCACCACAGTGAGTCATCCTCCTCCATCTCACTTTGTCCTCTGAATCCTCTGTCCTCACTCCAACTATCTCAGTGTCCTCTCTAACTGCATCAATATATCTCCTCTTTCGCCTTCCTCTTTGTCTTTTTCCAGGCAGCTGCATTTCTAACACCCTTCTACCAGTGTACCCACTGTTCCTCCTCTGGACATGTCCAAACTACTGTCCCTCCTCTGGACATGTTCAAACCACCGTCCCTCCTCTGGACATGTCCAAACCATCTCAGTCTGGTCTTTCAAACTTTATCTCTCAGTTGTTCAACCTGTGCTGTACCTCTGATTATCTCGTTTCTATCTTATCAATCCTTGTCACTCCTAAGGAGAACCTCAACATCTTCATTTCTTACACTTCCAGTTCTTTCTCCTGCCTTTTTGTCCATGTCGCTGTCTCCAGCTCATACAACATAGCTGGTCTCACCACTTTCTTGTAAACTTTTCCTTTGAACTTTGCTGACACCCTTTTGTCGCAAATCACTCCTGAAACTTTTCTCCATCCAATCCATCCTGCCTGGACTCTTTTTTTATCTTCTTTACCACACTCCCTATTTTCCTGGACAGTGGACCCCAAACACTTGAAGTCCTGCACCTGTGTGACCTCTGCTCCTTGTAGTCTCACTGTTCCATCAGCCTCCCTCTCATTCACACACATGTACTCTGTCTTACTATGGGTGACTTTTATTCCTCTTTTTTCAAGTGCATACCTCAACCTCTGCAAGTTCTCTTCCACCTGTTCCCTGTTCTCACCACAGATAATAATGCCATCTGCAAACATCATATTCCATAGGGATTCCTGCCTGACGTCATCTGTTTGTCAGTCCTTCAGCAGAGCAAACAAGAAGGGGCTCAGAGTTGATCCTGAATGCAACCCCACCTTCACCTCGACGCTATCTGTCACTCCAACAGCACATCTCACCACTGTCCTGCTGTCCTCATACATGTCCTGTCTAACATACTTCTCTGCCACTCCAGCTTCCTCATGCAATACCACACATCCTCCCTCTGCACCCTGTCATATGCTTATTCTAAATCCACAAAGACACAATTAAGTTCTTTCCGACCCTCTCTGTACTTCTCTATCAGCACCCTCAACAAGGATGTATCTGTGGTGCTCTTTCTTGACATGAAATCATACTGCTGCTCACAAATAGTCAACTCTCGTCTAAGTCTTACTTCACATCTCTTTCCCAGATCTTATCATTGTTTAACACTGTTAGGCCTTTTCTGCCAGCATTAAAAAAACTCATAATGTCAATGGTTCTACTAACACTAATGCATCCTGTTCAGCATCTTTGCCATCTTTTTAAGGTGTCACATAAAACTAATACCTGTGCCTTTCTTTTCTTTCCAAGGGATGGATGTGCATCAGAAAAGCTCATAACAGAAAGCTGTGGCCTTCGCTCCAAATTATTACCCGGGGACGTTGTGTTAGCTTACAGAGGCTTTGATATTAAAGACAGTGTGGGAGTCCAGGTCAAGGTTCTTTATTGGCATTCACATCACATGTTGTACATGAGGTGGAACAAAACTGTGTACACAGGGTCCCAGTTACAGCCAACAAAAGCATAAATGAATGATGTGCTAAGGTTAAAATCCCATCATTCACTAAAGGGAGATGTGAACTTGATGCTAAGGATGTTGAAAACACACACAAGCACACCTTAGAATTCATGTGGAAAGAGTAATTGGTTGCATGAGAAACAAATACACAATGTTACACAGAACTATACCAGTTAGGTTGCTGTTTACATGTCAGGGTGAAAAGGTGACACTTAAGATTGTGTGTGTGTGCTGTAGTTTAGTGAACATGTGTTCTACTGTGGTTGTAAATCTAATGCTAATGAAACCTGCACGTGCTGCTACTGCTATATGTAAAATGTAGATTGTGTGTGGGTGTGTGTGTGTGTGTGTGTGTGTGTGTGTGTGGGTGGGGGGGGGGGGGTGAGAGGTTGCTTTTGCCCTTGGTTACCCATGACCCAGGAGAAATTTGATAGTCGTCCCATCTCTGAGGCCGTCAGGGAGTTAGATTCAGATGAACTTTTATTATTGATTTTCGTCAGGCAGACATTTTTTTTTCTTCAGCCTTGAGTCCATCTGGACATTCTGGTTCCAAAATGGCCTGATTGTGGGAATCCATTCCACTGATCCATGTTATGAGTCTCCCTCAAGGTCGAACCCACAACGCTGACGAGTCCCAGAAGCCACAGGTGGCCCGTGATTCTCATAAATCGCCTCCACCTTATGGTTTAGCTCATAAACCAGTTGATTTAGAGTTCCTACAGCACGGACCAAACCTTCACACTGACTCGGAAGCTTTGCCATGGCCGAAACTGCTGCCGATGTCTTCTTCAAAAGTCGATATAACAGAGCCTCGCCGATGCCAAAAAGCAGAGTCCCTGCTATCATAAAGCCAAATATGTAAACATCTTCAACATCCTCCTGAGACAGGACTGAGAGGCACATCAGCTGCCACACTTCCCACAGGTCCATGATGTACCCCCCAGCGTGTGTCTCAGCTGGACACGCAGTTTCTCCAGGACCTTGTCGTTTTGTTGAAAAAATCTTATCATTAGGGTTGAACGCCCAGGATACCAGATCCATAATTTTCTTATTTTACGTTCGGGAGATGTGAACCAGATGCTTCAGACACATAGAGAGCAGAGAAGGAGGAAGGAAAAACGGAGGAGGAAAGACAAAAGCAGCCACCTCAATCAGAGCCAGGGAGGAAATTTAAATATTTATAGAAAAATTGCTACACAAAAATGTGCAAAAGTTAACAGTATGATTTACATAATTATGTCTCCCTTGAATCTGGAGTACAAGCGTGCTCTGAGGAATATCTTTAAGAAGCTTTGTGCTTTCTGTAGACAAGCTTCACAGAATTCCTGATCTGGAGAGACATGGATGACAGCCATGTCTTTCTGGGTCCACACAAGGTCACAGTGGTTTGATTTTGTTACAAAAACCTGTTTGTACCTGTGTATAGTATGGATGATGTTTCTTCATGTGAACTTCACAGCCTGTCTCCACGGCCTGCTGGATGCTGCATGTCCTATATTTGTAAGGAAACTTTCTCCAGGCAGCAGCGATCACACATTGAGTCCATCAGGAGATGCTCCAAGTTCAGGGAAGTTGGTGTTTATGATGAAACCACATTTAACTTTTAGATTTTTGTACTGCTAGCTGTAATTTTAATGTAGGCCTTTTGAGCATCATCCTCATGATTCACACTCCATTTTGTTTGCACTGAGTAGACACAGTGTTGCTCAGCATGACCCACGGTGTTCTGGTGGCTCAGAGTCTCTGAGAGTGCAGAACATGTGAACACACAATTAAAATGCTGAATGAAAAGACAAACATAAATTAAATCTATAATATATCTATATATGTATTTTAATACATATATATATATATATATATACAGTATATAATAAAGTAATCTAATCAGGATTTGAAGTCTACATGTTGTTATTAGATGAGCTCAAGTCATTAAAAATAAGGTAATTAACCATTTCAACTTGGAGCTCCGTAAATTAGTTAAAAACATACTTGAAAAATCAAGTGTTTACAATTTGTAATACTCATAGCATACAGAAGGTCGATTGATTCTGAAAGAATGTATATTAATAATTTATGTAAAAGCAAGGCGCCAAGAACAACGTACCTTTGTTCAAACCACAATGTATTCACAATCCAGGGTTTTAAAAATGTCCATATCGTTTACCAGCCGTTCATAGATTGGACAAGCCCTTCCAGTAACTTGTAATTCTTTAAATTATTTGCGGTGTAAGCACTGACATACACCAGGTCTGCTAAAATGACTGGGAAAGTCAGTGGAGGCAAATATTACTCTGGGTCTCTGCTACTTTTTTTCTTTTTTAAAGTGGGTGACATTTCCAATTTTACCTATTTTTTTCCATGTACTGTTTTTTGTCATCTGGGAGAAGTTTGTCACAATATAGTCCACTTTGTTTTAAGCTGCTTTTCAGCGTTATGAAGGAGGATACAGCGGTAACACCACAGACAAACACCAGAGTTTTTTATTTTTTCCTGAGGACAGTAAACATGGTGGTCGAGACGGG